TGCATTGTTGGAGGGTGGTCACATGACCAATTACCAAAAATGGTCAAAAAATGAAACTTGTAGCCCTACACCATAGCTTCCCAAATCTGTTTGAATGATATTCTGAAGTGCTCCCATTGTGGAGATATGAGGTAAAGGGATTTCAGAAGTGTCACATTTTTTGTTTTGTTTTTTGTGTTTTTCACCATGAAAACAAAACCAAACAACATGATTTCAGTATATTTAGAGAGCTCAAAGAAAGGGCTACAATTATTGTATTGTGGGAAAAATGACCAAAAAAGGAAGGTGCATGCCCTAGAAAAGGAATTAGACTATAAGAGTCAGATATAGACTACCAAGTTTACTGATAGACTACAAAAATGTCAGACTTAGACTACACAGTTTACTGATAGACTATAAAAGACTACAAAAGTCAGACTTAGACTACAAAGTTTGCTGATAGACTACAAAAGACTACAAAAGTCAGACTTAGACTACAAAGTTTACTAATACACTACAAAAGACTACAAAAGTCTATAGACTACCAAGTTTACTGATAGAGTACAAAAATGTCGGACTTAGACTACAAAGTTTACTGAGACACTACAAAAGACTACAAAAGTCAAACTTAGACTACACATTTTACTGATACACTACAAAAGACTACAAAAGTTGGACTTTGACTCCAAAAGCTTGGACTCAGACTACAAAGTCAGGGTTAGGGTCAAAATTGAGACTACAAAAGCTTGTAGTGTGCGCTTTTTCATTAGAAAATTTTGTAGTGTCTGCTATTTGAGCATACAAAAGTTTGTAGTATCTGCTTTTTGAGACTACAAAAGTTTGTAGTGTCCGCTTTTAACACTACAAGTTGCCATGTAGTTTGTGGTGTCCTTGATCCTGTCTAAGTTATGGCGATGAGGTTGAATGATTGACATTCATTAGAAAAGTTTGTAGTGTCCACTTTTTGAGACTACAAAAGTTTGTAGTGTGCGCTTTTTTATTAGAAAAGTTTGTAGTTGACATGTAGTTTGTGGTGTCCTTGACATTATGAATTGACATATTGCCATTGCTGCAGCATTAGTTTTTTACATTATGCACAAGTTGTCTTTCACATTAGGATCAAAGAGCTGTATCAAAGTTGACTATGTTTGGGAGAGGCCAGTATCAATGTGAAAGCAGACAGTGTGAAAGCCAACTTGGTCATGATGTCAAAAACTGGTGATGTGATGTCAATCCTTCAGCCATATCCCCACATGAACTTATAATTATGTTTTAAGATAGGACAGTAGGTATCAATCAATATGAAAGGCTTAGAATGGCCTTTCCTAATGTGAAAGACAACTTGTGCATGATAATGCTGCAGCACTGGCAATATGATGGCAATCCTTCAACATCATCCCCATAACCTACATAGGGCCAAGGACACTATAAACTACATGTCAACCACAAACCTTTTTAAATGAAAATGCAGAAACTGCAAACTCTTCTGATATTCTTTAGTGGTCTAAAAAAGTGGACACTACAAACTTTTGTAGTCTGAAAAAGTGGACAGGACAAACTCTTCTAATGGCTCTCATGCTCTCTTTTGCATATAATTCCTCAAACTAAATGGAATACATAGGGTCCCTGCAGTGTATCTGTATATTCCCTAGCCATTTTCCCATCAAATGTGTGCCATGTATGGGATGGATGGGCATAGAGCTAGGTTGACTTTGGATAACCTTTTAGTCCTAACCCTAACTATGTAGTCTAAGTGCAAGGTGTTGACTTTTGTAGTCTTTTACAGTGTATCAGTAAACTTTGTAGTCTAAGTCTCACTTTTGTAGTCTTTTGTAGTGTCTCAGTAAACTTTGTAGTTTAAGTCCGACATTTTTGTACTCTATCAGTAAACTTGGTAGTCTATAGACTTTTGTAGTCTTTTGTAGTCTATCAGCAAACTTTGTAGTCTAAGTCTGACTTTTGTAGTCTTTTATAGTCTATCAGTAAACTGTGTAGTCTAAGTCTGACATTTTTGTAGTCTATCAGTAAACTTGGTAGTCTATATCTGACTCTTATAGTCTAATTCCTTTTCTAGGGCATGCACCTTCCTTTTTTGGTCATTTTTCCCACAATACAATAATTGTAGCCCTTTCTTTGAGCTCTCTAAATATACTGAAATCATGTTGTTTGGTTTTGTTTTCATGGTGAAAAACACAAAAAACAAAACAAAAAATGTGACACTTCTGAAATCCCTTTACCTCATATCTCCACAATGGGAGCACTTCAGAATATCATTCAAACAGATTTGGGAAGCTATGGTGTAGGGCTACAAGTTTCATTTTTTGACCATTTTTGGTAATTGGTCATGTGACCACCCTCCAACAATGCAAGAGACCCTGACAATTCCTACCCTGTTATTACCCTAGGCAAAGAAATGAAAAATAGCCCTAGGCAGCAATGAAATACCAAAATATCACCCTGGGAAAGCAATGAAAAATAGCCTAGGCAGCAATAAAAAATAGCCCAGGCAGGAATGAAATACCAAAAATATCACCCTGGGAAAGCAATGAAAAACAGCCCAGGCAGGAATGAAAAATAGTGCTAGGCAGGAATGAAATAGATATGAAACAGAAATGAAATGAAAAATAGCCTAGGCAGCAATGAAAAATAGTGCTAGGCAGGAATGAAATAGATATGAAACAGAAATGAAATGGATATGAAACAGGAATGAAATAGAAATAAAATAGAAATGAAATAGAAATGAAATAATACCTTGAAGGAAATGAGATACATCTCATAAGGTTTGCCATGTTATCTCATTTTATAAAAAACCTAGGCAATTAACAAATCGTTGTGCTGGCAGTTTCCAGTGTTTTATGATAAGAAGTGGTAGGGACTAGTGGATCCTTTATTATATTCTTTTTATCATTTTCTTTTCCCTGTGCATCGTGTGGTAGAGTAGCTACATTTTTTTTCCCTCAAAATTCAGTTTGTTTACATCTGTGTACCAATGGCGTCTTAGGCCCCAATGTCATCCAAAAAGGGTTTCTCACATCCAGCTATTTCAGTCTGATTTGACAGAGGGAAACTATCTGAAGTGGTCTGAACATATTCAAGCATATATTTGGTGAAATTTCAGAGGTTGTTTCTATGACGAACAAAGCTGTAGGACATATATTTCTCCTCAGAACTAAAACTGTGCATTGTTGACAATTGTGTACCAAAGGCATTGAAAGGCCCAAGGTCATCCAAAATGGATTTGTCACATCCAGCCTATTTCAGTCAGATTTGACAGAGGGAAACTATTTAGGAGTGTCAGAACATCATCAAATATATATATAGTAAAGTTTCAGGTGTTCTTTCTAGGAGAAACAAAGCTGTGGGAACATAAATGTCTCCCCAGAATTAAATCATAAATATGCACCCATATAATATCAACAATACCTCTTCCCACCCACCCTACAGCAAGCTGTGCATTAACCCACATCCTGACCAAGTGGTCAAATGCACTCCCTATGGAAATGAATAAAGTGCATTCTTGCAGAATATAAGGCATAGGACTACAGCCAAGGGTGCATATCTAAATTTTACTTTGTGCACCTTTATTTGTACAAACAACCATATTAGGTAGAACACCCTTCCAAGTTGGCAAGTTCCAACCACTCCACCCTTATGATGTGTGGGGCAGTGTTTGGAGCAACTACCGAAACAGTGCTAGAACGTGGAGCAATGGGCAGCACATGTGAATGGGCATCATGGTTTACATAGCCATGGCCTAAAACAGATGTTTAAGGCGCAAAGGAGGTCTTTATTGTCCTCTACTGATTCCTGCTGGATTCCAGCGGAATCCAGGCAATTCCTGGAATTCCAGAGGAATCAAATTTGGCAGAGGGCCCTGCCAAATTGATCAAACAATTCCATGGAATTTTGAATGGAATTGGGTGATCACCTGAAAGGAATGCTCACAGAACGAGACAGAATGGAATTCCTGATGCCCAAATCAAACGTCGGCATTTGGCCGACGTTTCATTTGGGCATCATCAACAAACAACGCCACATCTCTTTTCAACCACCACCATCACTGACGCCTACACACCATGTCGCCAACGTCCACCACCACACACACCAGCCACA